TAGGCAGACATCTTAGCCATTAGGCCACAGGCTCTAAAGAGACTACACACACACACACACACACACACACACACACACACATATATACATACATACATACACACACACACACACACACACACACACACACACACACAACTGTCCCCTTTCCTTAAATACTGCAATCACTGTCTTTCCATAAAGAGAACTACGTAAGGCCAAAATAAACTCCCACATAAGCAGAAATATGAATCGCAAGGGAAAAACAAAACATTTAGGAGGAAAAGTGAAAAGCTCTCTTATTTTTCCTCAGTGTTCGCATCGCTACATCTAAGCCTGGTGCATCAGTCGATCTGATTTGCAAATTGAACAAGACATCTTGCCTTCTGATCAAACCTCACAAATATCACAATTAGAGCCTTAAACGTACTTCCTTAAGCTTATGCACAACGAAGTCTCAATTAAACAGTTACCCTCTTAGTGAACTTCAGATGCAACAGATAAAATGGGACACCCAGACGTTAATCTTACACTCAGTAATCCAGACAGGCACTTTAAAAAAATCTGCTTATATGCCATAATTTAATTCATGCGTGCGACGATCACATTGCACAATGCGCAACAAAATGAAGAAAGCAATTTATTAAATGGACACCAAGAATGAACTCCACCCTCCTCCTCCAAGGACCTGTTAAACTGATATTTCGACTAGCATTTTAATTTAAAAGCAAGCATTAGCACTATTTAAACAAGTGTTAGGTAGACTAAATGACAAATTAAAGATGCTCAGCTGCCGAGGTCAATCTAGTTTCCAGGACAAAAATGCACTTCAAGCACCCAGCCGCATAGCACTTGAATATACTTACATATCATTTTTGCCAATAAAGCCCATCACAAGAACATGACTTCTTAGCATAATGGGTTCCGGACATGGGATTTGTGCTGTATGTAACCTACAAAGCAAGTCACAAAAAAAAAGACAAAACTGCTCTTATTTGATATATCTGATACCACCTATTAAAAAAAGCCCTAGATGCAGAAAAGAGCTTCAGAAATTCAGATCATTTAATCCAATAATATTGACCTTACCTTCACAGTTATTTAGTCAGGAAATACTGCATATAAAGCAAGAAAATATATAAAAACAGCCTCACAAGCCTCTCTCAATCTTGCTGAGTCGAGAACAACTAGCACATATGTGCAAGGGGAACCTTTACCTAACATACGAATGTGATCACTCAATATGTGTATTTTTTGCTATTTTCATTGCCATATTTCTGATTCTAAATGTGGATCGTTTGTACATGTTTGAAAAGGAAAACAAAATTCACGGCTTTCTCTTTTTTAAAAAAAAAAAAAAAGTTCTAAACCTGAAAACACAAGTATTTAAATCATTTTGCTTTTAAAAGCACCAATTTGTTCTGGAGTTCAGCAGGAATCCTCGAACAAGGCACTCTGAAGTTGGTCCTAAAATGAGCATTTGAAAGAATTGCATCTCCTGAACATTTGGCTTCTTAAAAACTTGCAATGCTATTCTTTTAACTTCCTAAGTATTAAAATCACTGCACCCTAACCACTGAGCCGAGGTGG